TCTCCTTTACTGGTGAAGCCTTCTTCATCACAGAATCAAGATATGGAATAAGTTTGTATAATATAGTTAAGTGAGGTAATCTAACTATTTGAGTTTAAAAAATTACCCTGGCACTCCCAACGTATTTTCTTAATCTTAACCATGCTCTTTTTTTACTGAACCACACTGTCATTCTTGGGAACACCTACAATTGAAAGATACTTCCCAACATTTTTCATATCACAGTTCATGTAGAAAATGATGGTATCTGTTGAGCACACTGGAGTAAGTGGATGAAGATTCTCCTGACTCACAGTGACCACTGAGGGGTTCTAGAAACTTCTGGCCCCTATTAATGCACCCAAATATGGTATAATTGGAACCTATTTGAAGCATGCTGTGTTGTAGCCTTCCCATTGAGTAGTTTTGTGCTAGAAAAATATTTGCATGAATAATTTTACTGTGTTTGTTTGGTTTTTGGTCCTGGGAATCGAACTCAGGATCTTGCACTTATGCTTAAGCATAAGACAGCAGCATAAGGCAGATGCTTATGCTGCTGAGCTATATCCCAGTAAAGTACTCACTCAACCAAAGTTTATGCAGGCTCACTAAGGCTGCAACCGTGAGTTTTCTATCTCATTCTTGTAGGAGTTTGGGAGACAAATGTCAAGATCTCAACATATTTTTGTCTGTATTTATGTATTTATTTATTCATTTGCATGCACATGTATGTGTGGTAATCCTGATGGTAATCCTGAATGTTTTGTATTTGCAATGTTGAGTGCATTTACTGAAATGTAGAAGAGATATTTTATAATATAGCAGAAAAATCCTCCATTGGAGAGAGATTAGAAGACTTATATCTTAACTCCCAATCTGCCAATAGCTGTGTTCCCTGTCTATGCCTTGGTTTCTTCAGTCTGGTATCTGAACTAAAATTGTGGTTTTCCAAGTGGTACCATGTAGATTCCTTACAGGCTCCATCCTTTCACGCTCTTTAGCCAAAAGTTAGTTTATGTCTTTTAGACCTGCTTCCTTATATATATGTTGTTTCTCTAAGGAAAGGACTGTGAGAGAGGCAAGTGAGGAGAACTGAAAACTCCTAGGATATAGTAATCTCTAAGGACTTTAAAGAGCTAATATTTTCAAGCTCTCTCTTATTTTTATCCCATTAAGAACCAGACTATATCTAGAACATGAGATATCACACCTTACCATTCCAATGACTTGTCTTGTTTTACAATACTATTTTTAATAAACTGTTTTATATAAGATCACATTTTAATTTTTAAAGCAAACAGTTAACATTTCTTTTGTTTTGCATTTTATTTTAAAGAGAATAAAGCCAAACAAAATAAAACAGAATAAAGTCAGTCAAAACAAAACAGTGAAAGTGATACAGAACTTCAAAACAGGATAAGAGGACATCAACAGTGGTTACCATAATGTCTCTTGTTACCTTTAAAATTGATGCTCATACATAATAAAATCAAACAAAATGAACACTGAAGAAAACAAAATAATAACATGGAACAAAATAAAACAATAAAATAGAAAGAAATCCCCCATAGTTGCTGTATTGCATATTGTTATCCTCTAAATAGATGCTCAGACTACTGGCTTTAGACCTGAAAAGTCAATCAAATAACACAAGCATTAAATTGTTCATGTAACTCAGTTGCTATCAACTCAGCCTGTGTTCTTCCAAACCAGCAGGTTGTTTACAGGTATGGGGAGTTGTTCTTGTCTCTCAGTCTATGTGCCAGCTGGCTCATGGAAAGAGTAGACTGGCTTCTCTTTCTCCTCCTGGACCTGCATGGCTGCTGCTGGCTCATAGGAAGAGCAAACTGACTTTTTGTTTCTCCTCCTGGGCTCCTCATGACTGCTTCTGGCTTAGGGGTGAACTGTCTTCTTGTTTCTCCTTCTGGACCCCATGTGGCCACTGCTGACTCACAGAAACAATAAACATTTCTAAAGGTAATAATCACTATGAGATGACAGCTTGAATTGGAGGCATCCAAGTACCCTTCTTCCTGACACTGTGAATCTACCTTTTTTTTTAAGGTTGTTAGGGACAGAGGAACTCTACTGCATTTTTGATAGGAATGTAAACTAATGCCACCTATATGGAAATTAGCCTGGAGATTCTTCAGAACACTAAAAATAGAAATTCCACTTGACCCAGCTATAACTCTGCTGGATATCTTCCTCAAAGTGTATTACAGTGATACATCCATACCCATGTTTATAGCCACAAAACTTATAATAGCTGAATCTTGGAAGCAGCATTTAACAGTTGAATGATTAAGAAAATGTGGTATATATACACAGTGAAATAATACTCAGCCATAAAGAAAAATAAATATGAGTTATTTGGAAGAAAATGGATGTACCTTCAGACCATATACTGAGTAAAATACATTGAATACCAAAGATTAAACATCACAAAATTCCTATATTGATAGGAAACATGGAGGTAGACTTTGAAAATTAGAAAGATACCTTGCAATACAAAGACAGAAGAAGGGAAGGGAATCTAAAATTATTAAGATGTGAAAAGTATGTATAAGTGAAATGAGTCTAATTATTATGTATTACAAACATGCATGACTTTATGAAGAAAAAGAGCAGCTATGGGGTCCCGGTGAGCCAGATGGGGACTAATGGGGAGGAACACAGTGCAGGGAGCTGGCTGATGAAGACCAGTGTGGCTTCCCTTCATCATTTGCTAGCCCAAGCCACTTTCTTGGAAACGTTTTCTGATTTAGAAGCATTTTACAACAAACTGATTTTAGACCTATTTCACACATTTTTATTTTGTAGCAGAAATGTTCAGATTACCTGTCCTTTGAGCAGAGCTTCTGTAAACCATAAAATCTTTCCACAGAAGTGAACGAAACCTTATCTGTTGCAGCTGATTTTTAGTAAATGAGCTGAATCTTGCAGCCAACCCTCAAAACAAAAACAATTTCTGGTAAATATTTTTCTGGTTTGTTCAACTACATTACAAGACAAGGGTTTTTCTTTAAAAAGTTAAAACCCACAAGAAGAAAAGCGCTAGCCCTGGGAAAACAATTTCTAGCCACATTAGCTCTGATCACTAGGAGAGAAAAGAAGGAGGGAACCTCATTCTGCAGACCATCGTCAATTCGGGATTCTTATCCTTTGTTTTCCTGCTATTTTAATTTAACCACTTCAAAATGGGAGAAAAATAGGTTAATATTTTCCATGAGTTTAGATTGTGACCAGAGGCATACTAGGCAATTTCAGAGCCTCAGGCAACCACAGCTCTGAGGAGAGGATGAAGATGGATTTACCAATTCATCTTGGGATAAATTCCAGAGTTAGGCAACTTGTGCCAGCATAGTGGTGCCAGCATGGAATTAAACCGTGTTCTTTCATTCATTCTTTCTGCACATATTCATCCTCAACTTATTTGTATTCCAGGCACTACTAGACTGACTATTGTATGGGGCAGAAAAATATAATTTTAGGGCATTGTCCATATCCTTAATGAAATGACAAGTCTGGGAAAGGAAGTATACAGTGCCCAAATAATTTTAGGAAGGATGCAGAGGAAGAACTGCAAAACAGTAAGCAAGGTTCTCAGGAGGGAGAAAGAAAGGAGCAACCAGTTTCAAAAGGGGCCATTAAGGTAGCTTGACAGATCAGAATGGTAAATTGTGACCCACGTTAGTACTGTCCAATGTGTGAAAGTGCGCAGCTTTCTCATAGGTTTGAACAAGAAGAGAATAGTCTCACATGCTGTAAGAAGCTAAGCCTAGAAAGGGAGTTTGACTATCATGGCAGAATTAGCTCTTTTTGTATCACAGAGCCATTCAGTTTTTGTTAGTAGGAAAACACTTTGTAGTTTGGGAAAGGAGATTGGGAGTCATTTCAAGACCGCATGCAAATAAGGAAGGAAAGGCAGAGGCCATTGTCACAGGTCCTCATGGGGACTAGTTACTTCCACATAGGCACATCTTACCTGGCAGGAATGTAAAGATTCTTAGGGTAAGAGGGCAGTTGTTCCCTGATTTCCACAGCCCACCCAGTCTTACATCTTCCTGATGAGATCTACATCCTAGATTTATTTGAGATTCCAGAGAGTCCACCTAGATAACTGAGTTAGAATACAGCATATTATGTGTGAACTGTGATTAGGCTGGTGAAAGTGGAGGATTTTAGGGAAGATCGGGAATTCAGATGTGGGTCTTTCTGAAATGAATAATACCTCTTATAAAGATGGTACTGGTATGTGTTCTTAAGACCAGGTAAATTGAATTTTTAATTTGATTTTCAAAGCCAGACTACCCACAATAGTCACCATTTCTTCCAAAGCATTCATGGACCCAAAACATAAAGATGGTGTTTGATTCCAAGTATTAAATGATCAAAGCCATACTGATAGCACCTAGCTCAGGGTTCTAGAGCCAATATGTATTTTCTGGATCCTGAGAACATTCTTTAAAACATTAGGGGCCTTTTGACCATATCTTAGATGATAGATGATGAGGCAAGTTTTAGAAGTAATAGTAAAGCATTCTCCAAGCACGGAACCTAACTGGGATAGTTCTCTGATCAAATGACAGCCATGGGCCACATGTAGCCCTTACCTGATTCTGTAAGTAAAGTTTACCCGGGGAACAGAAATCATGCTCCGTTGTTTACATGCTGGCTAGGGCAGCCTATGTAGTATAAACACAAAACTGAGATGTTCAGACAAGGCCAGAACTATTTACAGAAAAGTGGCTGCTACTTTTGTGATGGTGGAGAGGACAAGGGGAAGCCGTCATTAGGCATGTTCTAAGTCCTAGGTTTGCTGTCAAACACCTGGATGACATCAGGAAAGGCCCTTAACTGGTCTACTTGCATTTCCTTCCTCTATAATAAAAGACACACAACTCTGCCTTCCTGGGAGTATTGGGAACAGCTACCTGAACCCATATTCTTTGTAAAAACACTCATGCTACATAGAGATGGGTCCTAGCCTAACACCAGTGTGTCCTTTCCCTCCTCAGAATACTCTGGAGCAGTGCACCGTGTGCTCCAAGCCCATCATGGAGCGGATTCTCCGTGCTACCGGGAAGGCCTATCACCCTCACTGCTTCACCTGCGTGATGTGCCACCGCAGCCTGGATGGCATCCCCTTCACCGTGGACGCCGGTGGCCTCATTCACTGCATTGAAGACTTCCACAAGTAGGCAGATCTTCCCCTTCCTCCAGCCCACTGGGCCTCTGGGCATCTGTTCTTCCTGCCTGGTGTCTGGGCTGCACATTCCTCTCTCTCAGAGCTACAGACACTCAGGATAGAGTGACCTTTAAAGGGCACATTCACACCGGCACGCAGACCCCATCCGGTGCAGGAATTACCATCCGGGAATCCATGCGGTCATGCAGGGGAATCGGTGTCCGAGCTTCTTCAAGGCTCATGGGCAGATTTGTGTGCCTCTAATTGTGAAAAGCTGACTCAGCCACAAATTATGCACAGTAGACAGAGGGAGAAGCCTGATCTAACCGTGTGTGTATATTGCATTTGGCAAATTGCTCAACCTCTCTGAGCTGAGCACTTCCATTGCGTCAGTTTTTCCAAACTTTGCCCTAAAACTCTCCCAGGTGTGACAAGATTGACATCACTGCCACTCTGTAGACAGGAGGACAGACACAGAGAACAGCTCTGTCCCTCACACAAAAGCAAGCCTCTCACATATGCAGAGAAGCTTTATGCAGTTGTCATCGTACCCACAGCCACCCTGAACCTCCCTCTTTGGCTAGACCTTCCCTTTCTAGCGTATTTCCAAGTGAGATTGACTAATGCGGTGTTGCATGGTCTTCAGGGGAGGATTAGAAAGTAAAACCTCATGCTCAAGGCCTCTAAATCATTGGTCTAGAAATATATAAACCTCTTCTTCGTTTCTCTCATTCTCAGGTCCCTCTCTCCTCCATGATAGCTAAGGTTTTTGAGAAAATTACAGTTTTGTATCTTGCTTATTTTTATTTGGCCAGCGTGCTAGATGGTTTCCTGATCACAAGTTCTATATGTTTATGGGCTAACAGCTGTAGGTGCAACTTGCTCAGGGTTTTCTGGCTTCTGTTTGCTAGGCATTGGCTTTGAGGACTCTTTGGGGGCTCTCCTCGAGGTGAAGCTCGCATTGTTCACCACTCTGGGTATCCGCTCCGCAGCTGCAAGCGTGCAGTCTTGTGGGTTCATTTTTGCCACTGTTGATTGTGAGCAGCCCGGAGGTACTTTCCGCCAGCAGTTTGGAGACCTGAGACTCATATTTAAAAAATGAATTTCCTGACCACTTTCCAAGCAGCAGAGAAAGTGAAAACCTCACCAAAAGATGTGAGGCTGAATGAATTAAAAAAAAAAAAAAAAAAAAAAAGAACTCAGAGGTAGAAATTCTCAACCTGAATTAGACAAGGAAGGGCTCGCTTTTAAAGGGTAGTCACAGCATAAATTGTACTTCACGTTACTGATATTTATAGCTTGTAATTACACAGAGAAAAAAAAACCCTGCATCTATTTAAAGGAAGTGAAAAGATATACCAATTGGGAGTGTATTTCTGTCATTGTTTCTCTCCTTTCTTAGACTTACCCTCATCCAAGAAAGACTGATAGATATAATCAGAGAACACATGTTTCTGTTGCTGGAAAAGACTGGTACATTACACCCCTCAATTAAAACAGGAAATCAATTCTGACAAATGTAAGTTTATGTCCCTGCCATTTATCTTTGATTTCTAGTGGTGGGGACCGTAATTAAAGACTTGAGACTCGTGGCATAAGTGTGTGGGTCTGAAAGTGCCAAAAAAGCAGACTTGAGCAAATAGAAAAGCAAAAAGAAATAAAATGCAAAATCTCCAGACTCAGCTATCGCGCCCCAGCCAGTTCTTTGCCTATTAAAACAGAAATTATTTCTTTAAAAATAATGCTGTCTGCAAAATTGGCAGGTCTGTTAGAGGGAGAGACTGTGATGCTTTCCTCACTCATGAAAAGAAAGCAGAAAAAAAAATTATTAGCACTCTTATTTCTGGACCTTGAAAGACAAAACCACTCAAAATCCAGAATCAGGTAGGGAATACAAGGCCAAACAGAGAGTAGGCAGTTACCTAAACTCCTTTCCCAAAAAGTTTTTAGAGGTGTTACTTCTAGTCCTTCTGAATAGGCTGCTTTTTTTTTTTATTTGTCTGTAAGTTTATAGGGTTGTTTTTTTGAAGTGTGCTGGAGAAGGATACTTGAAGATTAAACCCAGGACCTTCACACTGAGCTACATCTATACCCCTTTGTACTTTGAGACAGAGTCTCACAAAGTTACTCAGACTGGTTTCAAATTTGTGATTGCCTCAGTCTCCCAAAGTGCTGGGATTACAGGTAGGCACCATCACTCCCAGCTTTCTGTTAGCTTTTAGGAAATGTATTTTGATACAGTTGAGCTCATGTTTGCAGAAAACCTGCTGCATGCCAATAACTGTGCGAAGGAAAGAGTTCTGAGGAGCAGAATTGCCTCTACAGGCACAGAATGGCAGAGGGTCTGTGCAGACACAGGGATGGTGTAGTGCTCAAGAACAGCACCCAAGGCAAGCTGCAGTAGGGACCTGCGCTTTCAAGTCAGGAGAGACTGTAGCTCAGGGGTCAGGGCAGGCTTTGTGGAAGCAGAATTCGATGAGTGGGTTGCATGGGAATCAAGGAAATTTCTACAGGGGATTTCCTAGGAAATTAAAAGAGTGGCTTCTTGGCAAGACCTCAAAAATGGTGTTTCAGAAGACACAGAACCTGATGTGCAGAACCTTGAAGTCTTGCTAGTTAGGTCACTCCCCACACACAGTCCCGGCTCATGGTTGCTTCTGAGCTCTTTCACAGATGTCAATTCAATGACTGCACCCTCATTTCCCTGTCTGACTGTCTACCCCTGTTAATACACACACACACACACACACACACACACACACACACACACACACACAAACACACACACACACACACACAACCTAAGCAGTCATCTTTAAGGCCAAACTCAGTTACCATCTCCTCCAAGACAACTTTTCTGACCTCAACTCCCTCTCGCCCCATGTTTGAATTCACATCGACTCTGAGTTTGATGGAGTTTGGTGACAGTACTTAGCATAGTCTAATTTACAATGAACTATGTTAAGCATAAAATTGTATAGTAGGCAACTTAAGTTATTTGGTAATGGGAGAGAATATTTGTGCACCAATTAATAGAACAAACACACTGACATTCCCAGTGCCAGTGCTGTAAAGAATCCCAGAAAAGCAGGTGTCACTGCCCCATTCAGTGTGCCAAATTTTTATCCTATCTGTGCTTTCTTAGCATGGATATCACCCTAATCTATTTGTTTAATCAGCATCCATTTGTAGATTTCCCAAAATATGTGGTTTAAGGGATGACTATGATCATCACTCTTGGCTGTAAAGTACAAATGATAATAGTACTTCCTTATCACGCTGCTAGAAAATAATGCTAAGAATATAGAGCATTTAACAGAAGTTGGCACATAATAATAATCAACAAATGGTAACTATAATCATCAGATTTGTTATTCACTCAGTGAATTTAGCCTTGAGTAAGGCCACTGGGATTTTTACTCTCCTCAAACTGCAAATCCAGGAACATGCAGAAGACCACTCCTTCTCTAGTAGGTTTCTTGTTTTTCATCATGAAAAGGAGGCCAAGTAGTAGGAAAGAATCATTACTTAACAAAAACCTATCTTATGGCTTTCTAAAAGAGGACCTTGAGATTGAACATAAATTTTAAGTAACATTGATCTCATAGAGAAATATTGTGAAATACATTTGATTCAATATTATCTTAGTTACTTTCTCTTTGCTGGAACAAAATACCTGACACCCACAATTTAAAGGAGAAATTTTATTTTGGCTCACACTTTGTGGATGTTTCAGTCCATAGTGGTCCAGCTCCATGTCAGGGCAACATGGCAGAGGAGAACAAGTTTATGACATGGCAGTAAGAAGCAGGCCCAGATAAAGGGAAGAGGAAGAAGTTGGAACATTCTGGGCCCTATTACCACTGGGCTTCATCTCCGAACATCACACCCAGCCATAAACTATCTGTGGAGAAATCCGGACATGAGTATCACACACCCAGGATCCAGTCACCTCCCAGAAGCCCCACCTATGACTGCATGAGGCTTTGTGGGGGACTCTAGATATAAACCATAACAGATATGGCTCAGATTTCTTCTTTCGGGACCAGTCATTGTGATCAGAAAAGGGACCAAATCAACCCTTTGCAGCTGATGGTTTAGTGCTCTCCAAAATAACACACAAAATATTGCAATCAAAATGGGTAAATTCAAATGAAGGAAATTTTATCTTCAAGGAGTAAGTAATTCTATTTTTGGGAATTGGAGGGCAACACTCTTATGATTAGGAAACAGTACAAAAGAAAACATACTTCTATCTGCACAGAGTGTATGTATATTCCCAGTGGTTTTCAGGAAAGTTAGTACCAGAAGCCTGCTTATGTCACTACTGATGACCCAGTTTCAAAAATAATCAGGTAGTCCAAAGCAATTTTTTTGTCACTGAATATAAACTTTTCACATAAAATACCAATTACAACAACTCTGATTACCACTGCGGTCGTACCATGATCATTTTAATTTTTCTTTCATAGCAATCAATTGATCTGCTGCTTAATTCATATCTATTTAGATTGCAGCCATAGAGATACCTTTTGGATGCTGCCAGGGAAATTAATATGTACATATAGAGTATAATGTATGTAAAAAATGCTTTGACAACCATAAAGTGCTCTGTGAAGTATTAGATTACTATCATTATTTCCTTTTAAGTCTCATTACAAATAGAAAAATTTTAGCATCATTAACTTTAAAACCATTGCCAAGAAAAAACTGAGTTGCACAGTCTCTTTATCTTTTTGAAAATCTCTTCAGTTCCGACCCACATCCATTTCAAATCATGGCTCCTTTCACACCTTCACAAATGCCCCCTCTGGTTTCGAGAAAATACAGATTGGATGGACACCCTCTATTTGCAATCTATGAATTGGCTACAAGGGGAAAACTATCAGGGACCACATGTCATGTTAAGAAATAAGAGATATTAACCTTCTTCCCTAACCTCAGAAATATATGCATATGTATATCTGTAGGTATCTATAAAGTCATAGCCTTGAATAGTGCTAAAATCCTTCAAAGAAGAATGCAACAGCTCTTTAACTTTTCAAACAAAAGTGTACCAAAGCCAGAATGTAGGCAATGTAGACTTGGCCATTTAAAATTTGGTGTACTAGGTGTTTAAACTTCCGTGTTGAAGAGTAATATATGTGAGGTTAGAAATGTGTCTTAGAACTCAAGACACATTTCTAAGAAAGAAGCCCTACGAATTCAAAAGAGAGTCAAAAATAACTTCAGGACATTTGCCTAGAACCAAAGGCGTGGGTACAAAGGTCTAGAAGCAAAACTCAGAGATTTGTCTAGGCCCGCCGGCACCGTGGCTTCCCCTTAGTGTAGCCCAAACTTGTAGCAGGAATCTGCACACAGGTGCTCTGCGGACTGCAGGCCCTGTGGTAAAGAGCTCCTGGGTACCCTGCATGCAAAGCAGTTCTCACACTCGTCCCTCCACCTCATGAAATATCACAATCTCTGCCTCCTAGAAGGACCTCAGCATTCTGACTTCCCCATTGTGCAGATGAGAAAGCAGCCAAGCCCCAGACAGAGCAAGGTGACAAAGTCACACAGGAAACGCAGACCAGGTGTCTTGATGCTGGTTGACACCTCTGCTTCTTCCTCCTGTGTGTCACCTCTTTGTCAGTGTCTATTCTTAGTGTTTGACCAGAATTTTCTGTTTTCAGGAAATTTGCCCCCCGATGTTCTGTGTGCAAGGAACCGATCATGCCAGCCCCAGGCCAGGAGGAGACTGTTCGCATTGTGGCTCTGGATCGTGATTTCCATGTGCACTGCTACCGCTGTGAGGTCTGTGGTGGGCACCCTGCACCCTGCATCCTGCACCCTGCACCCTGTACCCTGCACCCTGCACCCTGCACCCTGCACCCTGCTGATGCACGGCAGGCATGGAAAGGCCCATGAGAGCTGAGTATTCATAAACAGAGCAGTCGTTAAATCGGGGAAGATCTGGGTGTCTGTGTTAACAGACTTGGGATTAGGGGCTGGAGGTTTAGCTCAGCGGCATAAGCACCTGCCTTGGAAGCAGGCAGTCGTGAGTTCGATCCCCGGTACCGATAAAAACGAAAAAGCCAAAAAAAAAAAAAAAAACAGACTTGGGATTTAAGTCTAATGTGGGCATTTAATGCAAGTGATGTTGGATAGGTCACCTTACCTCCCTTGGTCTGCATTTTTCCACCTATGCAGTGAACAAAAGTTCTTCATTGCCCAGATAATGGCTATAAGATCAAAATACAAATTTGGAAGCTGTAAATTTTAAATTAATGAGAAACTGTGTTGGTATTGTTATCATCATCACCATCAGCATCATACTGAATCTTTAACTTCATATCTAATGCACTGTCATTCATTGAAAAGGATAAGAATCCATTTGGTTCTGGGAAGTTGGAGTTTCTTGTTCAAAGTCATGGAATCGCACTGATTAGCGAGCACTGGCCAAGCAGTTAAGAAAACAGATGACTACTAAAGACTGTAGGAGGTATAAGGGACTGCCAGTTATAAGGGACCAGAACCAGAGTCCAGGCAAGAGTTGACAAGCGAGGTCAGCAGAAGCTAAGGGACATGTAGCCTTCATATAGCTAGGGGTAGCAAGTTTTCCCCCGTGATTGTTACCATAGTTCTACAAGTTATGAAGCATTTTCCTGATTTACTACCAGCTCTTCTCAGTCTAACACTGTTCAGTCCCCCTTTTCCATTGGTGGAATACAGTAGGACATTCCTTAATACCACAGCCCCTTGGAATTACTTGTCTACTCCATAGGAAAATCTTCCTAGCACAGGGGGTGGCAGCGATGTAGGAAGCATCTGATCCATTCACTGCCTCAGCTACAGCTGACCATCTCTCTTATACAAGATGTTTTATTTGTCCCTAGAGTCCAGGGTGCTTGGCTTTCTCCAACCCTGACATGATAAAGACCATTTAAAAAGAAAAAAATCTAACAGCTTTTACCTAAGGTTTTATGACTGCAGATAAAAAGAGACCGATAGTGTCCCAGCCATCATCCTTAAAATGCCTCAGCTGAGAACTGTGCTAGTAGATGCTTTAGAGACTGACAGATGTAGAAACTGAGGCTCAAAGTAAGAGGTCTTCCTAGCTTTCCTCATGTGCTTGATGTACATACCAATATTTTTTGCCTTGAAATGTTTTTTGCTTTTGTACAAAGGGTTGCACCAAATATGTGTCCCTCCTCTTGGATTTTATGATAGCCATACACAGTAGGTTTGCTTTAAATGGATGAGAATTTTTTAGGAACAAAACTCTACAACAGGAAGAATGCTGAACTGAAAGAACACAAACTTTTGTCTTGTGCTGCTGTGAACTCTGCATCATACTGAACCAGTCACTTCCCTTTTTGCTGCTTGCCTCCCCCACAGCAAAGACAAGAAGGCTACCCTGGCTTCCTTTTGGATCTAAGAGTCTAAGCATTGATGGTCTCAAGGCTATGGTCCACTCCAGGCTTTTTATAGTGTCCAGATCTCCATACCATCTAGGGTATCCTTCCTTTTTTTTATAGTGTGACATAAGGTTTTGTTTAGTTCTATTACCCAATGTCCCAAAGCTGCCTAGAACTGCAACACATATACTTGTTCTTTTTGGTACAACAAAACATCCTGTGGAGCATAGCTGTTGCTGTCTTTAAGCATTGGGCCACACCCTTTTAAAATTTATATTTCATCATTTATTGGGTATAGACAAAAACTCCATGAAATTCTTGCCACCACGGTAGACAGCAGAGATAGAGTTCATAGCTCCTGTGACCTGTTAGTATCTACCAAAGTCTTCAAAGCACACACCACTAGACGTTCTGTATGTTTATTTTCCAGAGAAATGTCTATATCCTAAAGGGGCAGCCTTTAACTGCTTTGTAGCCTCTCCAAAACAGACCTTCAGAGATGTGTCAACAGTCAGATAATCCCATTCTTTGCATTTTTATAAAATACACTCACATCCAGTATCCAATTTGAGCCTCCCAGCAGTTTGACAAGGTAGAAAATGAAGATGTATCTTTAGAGTGACAGTGGGCCTTGTATGCAGTAAGCAGGCTGTCACGGAACTAGCGGTGGTCCCCGAGGAGAACCCCAGGGACCTGTCTCACATTCTAGCACTCATTCCTCTCAGTTTACTTTTTTGGAAAGTGCAGCAAACTATAGCCCTCCATATCCCTTAGGATCTTATTTTCTTACTACAATTGAAGTAAACAGGCAGCACCCACAGAGGGCCCTTCTGCTTGGCAAGAATGTCTCTCTTTGCTTTTGCCCAGAAGTGACCAAAACTTTCCATTTCTGCACCTTGTAGATTCCATTTGAGAGTCTGAAAGTGACAATAAAGAATAAAGATGAATTAGGATTCTATTTTTATTTTCTGTTGTCTTTGTTTTTGAGAAGCAAATCACTATCTGGGAACCGAAATCTACTGGCTCATCTCTTTATGTGTCTTTCATTTTCAGTGACCACAGGAGGACCATTTTGGTCTATTTTTAAATATGTGCCCAATCCCTCATTCTGTATGATTCACGATGCCCTATGTTTCGTATTAGGGGAGGGGAGGCATTAGACAAAGGTAGAAAGGTAGTGAGTAACCACAGTGCAGAGGTTATGAGTGAAAAGGTGAGAAATTTGGATTTTGAGTGTTTATAGTTCTATTTACATCGTTTCCCTCTGTCTTCATTTTTCAGGACTGCGGTGGTCTCCTGTCAGAAGGAGATAATCAAGGCTGCTACCCGTTGGATGGACACATCCTCTGCAAGACCTGCAACTCTGCCCGCATCCGGGTGCTGACCGCCAAGGCGAGCACTGACCTTTAGATGTAGTAGCTTGATTAGCTGCTTAGTGCATATGGCAGTAAGAAGAATGAAACACAAGAAATTGCTAAGAAAACGAATAAGAAAATAGAGCCAAGGCAGTCAAGTTATGGGATGGTCTCTGTTCTTCATCTGCTGTTCACCTTCCTTTAGAATCACAGTAGCTCATGAGACGTTTTTTTCCCAAGTTCTTACCAAATACATGTTTCATGTTTAATCACGCAGGGCACTGGTGGGCCTTTGTTCCAAGGACTTCCACATCTTTGCACAGATTACACTCCATCCCATTCACTTCTGCATTCCTGTAACTTTTAATCCCCATGTTTGTCTCACTTTTCATCTGGTTGAATAGCTTTTTTTAGTGTGGTATTTGCTGTCATATGATTTTTCCTGGGTGAGTCTGCCAACTCCCAGGTGCTGGTTGAAGTCCCCATTCACTCCTTTCATGCTGCCTGCAGCTATAAATGTTAACCTTTCTTTTGCTGCTTATGGAAAAGTGTGTTTCTCTGTTGCTCTCTACCACTCTTAGGTTTTTGGAGAAAGCAAAGTGTTAGGCTCTAAAAAATTCAAGTTGTGGAATATGTAAATTAAAACTAGCCAAAATTTGGTGTGCAATCAACCAGCTGGTTGACCACTGATCAGTGGTCAAGGGTCATTTGATAACAGCTACCAGCTAATAGTTAATGTAAAAGACACCAGCCTTATTTTTTTTTTTTTTAGAAATTACAAGTAGGATACACTCAGTGTGCATTTTGGGAGTGTGTGTGAAAAGATTATTATTATTATTCTAAAATACTACCCTAGGATTTTCCTTTTCCACACTACCTACACATAATACAGACAAACTTGCATATGTAACATTTTCAATACTGTGCTACTTTTCACCTTAGAAATATTGTGATGCTTTTCCCTAACACACAAACACAACTACTCACATTGACTTTTCCCTTTAAAGAAAGATACTGATTAAAAATAGTTCAGATTTCTTTTCTTTTGTTTCTTAATCTTTCCAGTCCCCATTCTGATTTTACCTAACAACTGTAAGTCAAGAGACAGAAAATGAAATTGTGTTGCTTCATTTCATTTACTTAGAAAGAGAGAAAAGCTAGAAAAAAGTGTGAAACCACAGTTTGATTCTTCTCATAATCCTTCTGCAACTTGAATTACATATTGCGGGAAACATTTTCATATCATCAGTGTGACATTTACAACACACTTGCTAAGACAATCACTGAAAAAAAAGTTGTGTTTCTGAGCTAAAAATATGCAGAATTTCTGCCTAGAATCTTTATTCAGACTCTTATTAGCCAGGGAAAACACTCACTTACCAACTGTAGAAGCATATTTATTAAGTTCTAGCATGTTTCATTTGAGGAAAGACACCTAACTTAGCAATGGCAATTTGCCATTTTGTAAACTAATTAGATATTTTGGCATAAGATTTTTTAAAACTTTCTTCAAATCTTCACTAAGTATATACTTTTAAATTATGAAATATTTTAAATATACAGGGAAATATAAATAATAATAATAATATAATGAATCTCTATATACATAAACACCCAGTTAAAAACATCAAATATAAGAAATATAGTCACATTTCCTTGTTCACCCATCCTTTATTCCACAAATGTCTTTTCACAACTATGAAGAACTAGTTTTCATGTGTGAAAGTTTTTTTTTTTTTTTAATTTAAAATGTTAACATCCAGAACCGAATGAAAAATTATCAGTGCATGCTTTAAATGGTGACCCAGGCCTCAGGAATTTCAGTTAAATTTATTTCACTTGGATAGGAAGCATCATAAAAGTGACTTTTAAAATGAGAAATTTTTAAACTTGCGATCACTACAGCTCATGTCAGTTATTCTAAATCTTCGGAGCTTTCGTCATGTAGTTTTGTCTTAGAATCTCCGAGGATATAAATTTTATGAGTTTCCTTAGACCATTGTCCTGTTCTCACTGGCTTCTCTGATCTTTGACCTTATATTTCTTATAGTGTGAAATATAACGAGATTTACTTAGGGGCAGTGTGTGAGTTTTAGGATACAATGGTAGCTGTGTTTCTGAATTCCTGTTCTCTAAAGTAAAAGCCAGACTGTGCTAATGACCTCAAAAAGCACTGACTCCTAGAAAATTGGGGTGGCAGTCTATTCTGCTTGAATCAATTCATTAACGTGTTTACTATTAAATACTTTGGGGGACTTGTATGGAGACCAAAAGTAAAGAGTCCAATTTATTGAGGGTTAGGTTTTTTGTCTAGTAGTCATATGTGTCATATGTGTTTTGTTGAAAGGAGAATTTATGAAATACTGATACCATAAAAAAGCAATAATCTCCTATTTGTTGTATTTAAATTCTTATGTAACTGAATGTTTACATGCCAAATGCAAAAGTTTTTTTAAAAAAAATGCTGCCACAGGGCCATCACTGTGGCATTGCCACAGAATTCTACTTCCTTACAATTTTTATAGCGCATTCTTATCACATAACCTCAGAGCATCTTTACCAAAGATTTTAATGTAAATCTTTTAATAGACTTACACTTTTGTAATAATGAATGTGCACACATAATATACAGAAATATTTAGATTTAGATTGTTTTTCTTTCACAAAGTCTACTAAGGAAAGGATCCTACCATATTTCATTCTAGGATTTCTTAAACATATGATTTATTTTGCTTTCTATTACTGTCTTTTTCTACTAATCATTTCACTTAAACAATGCCAAGTCACTGTTAAGTATTTTAGCTACATGAAATTTTGCCTATAACAGAGATACAAAGATCATATTACCCTAATGATTTTATATTACATTTTTTATATATTGTCTTTATTGCTATCATTTAAATACACAAATAACAGAGAAAGATCAGAGTCTATAACAAAAATTTTGTAAAAATATACCTATTTTTAAATATCTATAAAAAGCACAACTATTTGGTATTTCTGTATGACAGACACAGAAAAGACATAGAAAAGGAAAAAACCCACTACATCATAAGCTGTACAGATTATTTCAAAATAAGATTTTTTTTTTCAGTGCTGGTGATCAAATCCAGAGCTTCATGCATACAAGGCAAGTGCTCTACCACCGAGCTACACCCCTCGCCCAAAATAAGATTGCTTAATTACTTGGATCCCAGATCGTATTAAGTCAGTGCAGAGTCTGATTGGCAAACAAAATTATCTTTGAGACACAAATATATGTCACATGTCTCAATATAAGGTATCGAGACCATTAGAAGCTGACCTTTCTACAGTTCTTGGGATGTAGGATTTTTTTTCTTGTCATCAACACTTGGCTGTATAAACAACTTTTGAATATCCAGAGTCTCAAGGAAGAAAGAGAATAGTTTTTCAAGGGGCTCTGAAAATACAACTTTCAACTGTTTTCCTACCTAGCAAAAATCCTATTAATGTGAACTGGCCAGGAAGAACAGTGTTACTTCTATTTGATACGGTTTGGGCTTCTCTTGTCAAATCTGTGTCGGCTGCCCCCTGATCCTTCCGTTATCAACTTTTGAAGGCTGTTGGGGAAATGATGGCAGCTGCTAGGGAAATCAGGGAAACACTGTTGTAACCTCACAGCCTCTCACCATTCCTCTTGGCTTGGAAAGGCATTTTTTTTCATATACATTTCTAGAAATATTGCTATTCTACCTTAGTATTTCACATTTGTAGTTTAAACAAGTGATTGTCCATCTGTTGCCTCGAGCTACAGTACATGTGTGTTATGAATGAAATATGACAGCGTGTTCTATCCCCCTGCTTTAGCCATCTGTAGGAAACCAGCAAACTGAAAAAGATATACCTCTGCAAAATGTGCCTCAAGTCCATCCTGGGATGGCTCTTTTGCTGTGCCTCCATGAGAGACAGCCAGAAAGCAACCCATAATTGTGCCTTAGAATGGATATTCTGCTGAAGTCTCAAAAATGGAAATCATAAGCCCCAAATCTCAAAGATTTCCCCATCCAAAACTCAGAAAACAAGCAAAAAAGCCAGCACAGTCTAAATTTCTTATCCTAACGTACTTTAGTAGTAGTTCTTTCCTTTTCTTTTTTTGGGGGATGGGGATCTCGTGGTTCCCTAAAATTGTGAAAACATTCTTATGACAGAAAGTAATATATTGGGTGCCACTAGTGTTTTATCATTTGATCTTTATTCTGGTTTTAGTCAATGAAGACAGATATTTGAACCTCAGCCTTTAACACCCATTGAGCATATCTATTTTTTAAAAGTTGCCTTAGCTTTGTTGCCTTAATCCAGTGTGGAATAGAAAAAGTTGGGAATCCGTATTTGGATCAAGTCATTAGCATGTGAAAACATGCACAGTTTGGGCCAACTTATTTCCTTGACAGATAACCAGAATGAATTGTTTCTCATAAGACTCTTCTTTGGGTAGTGTGCTTTATTTACAATCTTTGGGAAATGATTGACTAAAGCTATTATACTTTGGTGAGGATTCTGTGTCTCCCTCTTCTTTCTCACTCCCTTTCCCCTTTGTTCTTTGTGTCACCTTTCAGTTTCACCTTCTTTCTTGTACTTCTCAATTCTTCTTTCCATCCTATCTACTAATGCTGCCATACTTGGACTGTTCATAAGTTAAGCCAATGCATTATAATCTTCTGGAATTCAGGTTAGATAAAGGGAGAAAGACTATTGGAAAATATTTGTGGCATCCAGAAAATCTGCCTCTATATGGGCAAACTTCTCAGGTTGTGTTTATTCATAGAGTGAGCTGAAGTAATAGTGTCTTTCCACCTTTCTATTTTAGAGAATTTTTATCAGAGACTCAGGTAATAGATTCCTAGAAAGTTCAATTATGACTGATCCAGTTTTCCTAGCTATATGTAATCTAAGAGTAGGTTAAGATTTTGTTTTAAATCCAAAATGTTACAAAACCAGAATGATTGTTTTAATAGTAGCATATAATTTTATTCTATTGAAACTTGATAATTTTACTTATAGCAAAGAATTATTATCTTTCCAGCATTTAGCACATATCAGCACTTAGCTCATGGAAATAACATGAAATTCTGCTGATTGACTTACAGTATTTTTTGGAGGATGGACCAGTACCAGAATTTTTCTTGGAGCATAGAATTACAGACATATTTTCACTTAAAAACAAAATAATTTATTAATTCCATTTTCTATTATACTTGCCTGTTCCCTGTTAAAAAGTTCACAGGTTCTGTTTTAGTTGGCCAACTTGGATGTGACTCCTTTTATGTAGAGCTATACAAAAAATGTATTTTTTATTAACAGATTGAAATCATTTTTAAAGTTACTGAAAGTTTTCCTCTTTATTTCTGATTTTTGTTTAACTCATAGCAGTCTCTAATGCACTAAAAAATAGCTCTACTACTAGCCTTCTTTAAAAACAAAAATTATTCTACAGGTTGTTATGTACACCAAAGAAGAGAAAATCTGCAGCTAATTCCTTTATAATACTTTAAGATTCTTACACCAAATCTTCCTTACTACGTGTCTTGGTTAAATTTTCCAAGATATTCACTTAGGGACAACAGAAAATCTTTTTATGTAACTCATGGTCATTCACCTAATATTCCAAGGCAGAAGTACTCAGTCAGTTAACAATGAACTGAGATTCCAAATTCAGTTCTCAATTTTAGAAGTAGAATGTTCTACTAGGAATAGAACAAGTGTTGTCATGTTATCTTGGCTCTTTCACATGCAGTTTGGTAACTGGTCTTGCTTACCCCAAACATCAATGCTGTTCCTAGATAAATATAATCTCAGGGCTTGTAAACATCTTAATCTTCTCTGTATTTTCCTGACCAATTATTGTAGATCTTAAACCTGGCCAGTATGTAACACTGCTCACAACAGTCCATTTTGACTCTGGAACTACACAAAACCAACATAAAATCAAAATCTTTGCCTTTTTAAGCTCAATACCACCGACTCTTTCAACTTTCCCTAATTTATCAACATAACATCAACTTCCATTTACTCTTCTGCTTCTCGTTTCAGCAGTTAGATCCAAAAATGCATTTAATTTTGTTTCAGTGTACTCGATGAAACTTAGCAATCCCTATAGGTCAAATAGGTGAAAACACTTTCTAAGAGTTGAAAATAAATGGAATTGAAATCATCCAAAGGAAATTGATAGAATCACCCAAAGAAAAATTGTGCCATGGACTCAGACCCAGAGAAATAGAAAGAAGATAAGACTAGATTTCCCATGTGTGTAAAAACAGCCCTGTTATTTTATATTCTGTATTACTAGGGATGATATAAAAATCAGTCATTCTGAAAAGAGAAAGTAAGCTGATGCATATGCCTCTGTGATAGTCTCAATTATTGGTCAGTTCATAAAGTTATAGCTCTTTCCCTTTGTCCCTGGGTTCTCAAAAATAAGACATAGTTTATCCATTTTCCTACACTGAATTTGGAGAGAGAGTTCTTAACACTTTTACAAAATTCACATAAATATCTACAGGTTGTTTGACTCAGATTCACTTCCATTCATTCTATTCTCAAATATTTGTACCCGAACTGTCACACATTAGCCCAAGTGATCAACTACCCTCCACAATCAATTTTGTATGATCTGTAGGAGTCTGTAATTTCTCTTCATTTTTGTCCTCCCAACTTCTTTATCTCTTATCTCTTTATTTTAATCATTGACAAATTACGGTAAGAGAATCAGATCCTAAGGAACTTTGATTCAAGCCAACTACAGTAAGATCAATCAGGTTCATTCAATCTGTATTTATACCATGGAACAGAATATGGCATAAGAAAAAATAATTCTTCCCAGTGGCATGTAAAGCTTCATGGGAGGTCTGAGACCTTATGAGAAATCTTGAGTTGACTGATGACCTGATTTGGAAGTTGAAGGAAAAATACTTAAAGTCCAATTGGAGCATGTAAGCTATCATCAAAGAAGACATTCCGTCTTAGCCAGTATGTCTCAGATTCTGGAATATTCTCAACAGGGAGAAGGTCTTCCATGTTTTCAGAATCAGTGGGATGGAAAAGAGGCAGAGGAGAGATGTAGAAGTTATTGCATACTTCTTTCATCTCTTAATTGAGAGGGAATATGAGTTGGCCAAAAATAATCCAACACAACCAGAATTAAAAGGAAACAGCCCTCCGTGAACGTTACTGTGACAAAAAAGAATTATTGCGGATTGATGGCTCCATCCTCCACTCTTGCAGAAAATATACTTGTTTTTTGAACTTCTGCAGAAAAACAAGCAGGGCACCTCTATTCTCTTATGTGCTTTTAGGCACACAATTAGAAAGGACTCTGTCCACTCATCTGCTCTGCTGCTGTTAAAATTCCATCACAGTTGCAAGGCTAAGCGGTAATCCAGAATGCTTGAGGAGCACCTGTCCCAAGAGGCTACCACCCCTTAGGGTCTTTCACTTCCTCCATCACTCTCTGTTCCAAGCTGTCCTTGCTTTAAATCAGAACCAACCTGCAGAGCACATGGTCTTCTTGGTAACAAAAATTGACCTATAATACGTAATGAAATCCTGTCTGCTTCCTCCTCCACTTTCCTACCATTAGATTTATCTTGTTTTTAAGAAATGCATAACTTTTTTAAAAATTTAAAAATGTTTGATAGTTTTGAGCCAAAAATTATAAAATCTTTAAACAGCCCTAAAAACCGAATCTTTCTCTAAGGATCAGATATTAGAACTGATGAGTTTTACTATTGGTCATTCTTAGTCCAAAGACTAAGCTCTAATAGCTGTCAGATAGCATCATGCCGTTCCCCAGTAACCAACCCACGAACAAAATATTTCATTAATATGACCTGTTGTTGGTGACTTTTAAAGTGCTGAGAAATGTCATTGTAAAATCTTTAGCTCTAGCGAGATTCAAAGGCAAAATATAGTGGAACTGTTAAAAACTCATTATTTCTGGTAATTTCTTTTGTACAATAGGACATCATTCTGGAAGGAAGGAAGGAGCTCTGCTTTATGTGAAAATGTATAACTCTTCCATCACTAACTTGGATTGTTTTTTGGATTAATTAGTATTCCTTAGTGTTTGGGAAGACAAAGACAGTCTCTCGTGCCCTAGCTTTGAAATTAGAGAGCCCTATGGGCAGAATCTGCCATCAGTTTCCTAAGCAGCACCTGGAGGTGGCTTTCTGAGATGTAATATAAAAATTCCTAAGAGAGCTTACAAACTGCTTTCACACGAAAAACAGTCCTGGGAGGAAAGTTATTAATAGCCGGATCCTAGAAGAGAAAGCTGAAGTTCAGAATTGCTAAGTGACTTGCCAAAAGCAATATAGCTGGTAAGTGGCAGATTTGGGGATGTGCCTAGGAGTTGCAAGGGCCGAGCCCTCTCAGAGGACAATGCGTACTCCTCACAGACTCCTGAAGGTCCTTCTAGAAGTCCTCCAGGGAAACTAGTAGAAGCCATCTGGTTATCAGTGGCCAATCCGATGCATATGTGCACTGTGGTGTTTACGATCACGTAGAGCCCACACACATCTTCTATGTCATCTTGTGGGAAACCACTAGGTATTCTGTGTGATCAGCACTATGATGGAGTTGGTGGGGAAAGGCCACTGCTGGGACAAACAACTGGTGCAGAAGCACACAGCAGCAATTTCCCCAGAGAGAGTTGGTTTACATTACATTAACCAGAAAACCTCTCGGAATCCATCAGGTTCAGAATGTCAGCTGAGACCGTATCATTTAGAATTCAGTGCTGTGCAGAGGTGACTTCATCCTTAAGACAAGCCTCCCTGCCATGGACAGGAAGAGTCCCCCTCCAAGGCACATGATGCTCAAGGACACAATACATATTAGTCCCTCTGTCTCTGTCCCCATTTACCAAGAGCCCATCCATGTTGCTGCAGTAGGTAGTTCTGATCCAGCCAACTTGTGACCTCAAAGTGTATGGACAAATGCTAATGAGACTGATGGTATTTCTGAGATTTGGCCTCTGCAATTTTATAGACTGGGCTTCCCTGGCTGTTGCAATTTTGTGATTATTAAATATATCCTTCTCGCAAATACTCTGGTACGATGTTGCTTCCAGAAGACCTACTTGGAGGTCTCCATGTACACGGTCAGTAGTTCAGCAAGTATCATCCCTCAGGAAACTGCATTAGAGGATGTGCTTTTGCTTTTCACTGACTTGTTTTCTCTCTCCTGGTTACTTCCCATGAGTCAAAATCTGTGAACAGATTGAATAAATATCCTTTCTCCACATTAAATCTCCTGCATTAAATTAGAGAAGCCTTTGAAATGATGCTACCTAGTAAGTTTTCTAAGCTTTTTCCCCTCTGCCTAGTCTGTCATCCATCTGTCCTCTATCGTCATTTATCTCCTTTTCTCCCCTGGGATTAATGTCACTTTCAATAACGAATGGACTCTCACCCTTTCCCAGTCTTCTTAACTGAGAAATGAGAGACCCCAGCGAGGCATTCAAAGCTTGCAGGGCTCTCATGTTCTTCTGAGGCTGGTGAATGTTACAGCTGAAGGAACAGGAAGCAATTTTCAAAACATAGATGGGATCCCTCACCCTAGGCATGGATTAGTAGAAGCAGCATTCGGAGTGCTTTTCAGAATTATCTAGCTGAGTACACCCGAATAAAGACTCTCATAGGTAGAACACTGATGTCACGTTGGAGGAAATAAAATGACAGGAAGAGATGACCATGAAAAAGCAGGTCTTAAAAAAATACTTTTTTTCAAATATCCAGCCACAAGCTGCAATTTAGATTTACATAATGTAAAGAAAAAAAAATATTTTCCTGCATCCTTTCTTAATAGTACCCCAGATTTATAGAAAATTCAACTGTGATGTCTTTCAAACACACATATACACAATTTTCCAAGAAGGCTGATCCTCTAAAACAGAAATCTTATTTTAAAACACTTAGGTATTTTAGGCCAGGAAATTAATAATTCTAGATCTGACCCATTTTTGTAGTTGCCAAAAAAGAAAAGAAAAAATATTTAAATTTTGTATGGTTCCATTTATCTTTTAAGTTATGCCGAAGCAATTTGAGGTAGGATGGGAACTAAGTTATCTATTTCTCTCACTTGATTCCCACTATGTATTTCTGTCTGTCAGGAAAAAGGCAAAGACCTATTAGACCATTGCTTTGGACACATTGTGTTGCTGTTTTGTATAGTACCTGCTTTACTTTGTTCCAAAGCATAGGAACAAATGTTTAAATCCATTTCCTCCATCATGACAGAGTAAATATTAAGTCTGAATATCTTTCCTCACCAAATTATTTAACTTCATTTCTTTTTATGTTTTTTTTTCCTCTTTGAGACAGGGTCTTGCTATGCAGTTCTGGCTGGCCTTAAACTCACTTTGTAGCCCAAGCCAGCCTCAAACTTGCAGTTATCCTCCTGCCTCAGCCTCCCAAGTTCTGGGATTGCAGATATGCACCACCTTCCCCAGGCTTTTTCTTTTAATTCATTTCTAAACTAGTTTAGAAAATGCAAAATTGGAAGAACTAGTTTTCCTCAGGTATGTTTCTATATTCCTCCTCCTGCTCCTCCTTCTCCTCCTCCTCTTTCTCCTCCTTCTCGTCTTCCTCTTTCTCCTTTTCCTCTTCCTCTTCCTTTCTTGGGGGAGACTGCACATAAAGGGAAACCTTCTCATCTCTCTTCCTCTTTGGGTGACAGGGATCCTCACTTAGTAATTAAAAACCAGAAGTAGGAGAATAGCTTAGTCAAATTATGATGTGTCTGTCCAACATATTTAGTTCTGCAAATACAGACTTTGAGAGGAAAGGGGATTTTCACAATCTAAACACCAACAATGGGAATGGCCTCAGATTTTAAATGTGAAATTATAAGAGAGGAGTTGACATTTGGGCAGTGTGTGCCTTCTACTAACCCTGTGTAGTTGCTGCTTCCTTTCTAGATGAATGTCAAATGCATTAATATATCAGGGTTACACTGCCAAAGACTCACAGTCCCTTAGACCTCCCTGGATAGCTAGCAAATTGATGCTAGCACAGACCTGGCCATCCCTCTAGCTAAAGCAAAAAGTCTGAATGGAGGTGTATCCTTGATGAAAAAGATGTAGGACCCTAGAAGCCAAATCGTGCCATCAATGTTTTATGATGGCACAGCAGCACAATCGTTTTTAAATGTCTTTCTTCCTTTTACTAACCATTTATTCCCATGGAAAAGCTGATGAGCAAATTTTCCAAGACTTATTTCCTCATTAAGCAGAAATAGAATATTTCCCATCTAAGAACCTGCATTATGTCTTCATTCTTTTTCAGGAAATATATCAAAGAGCAAATAGAATTAAAGGTGACACATGATTGTCTGATTCTTTAGCATGAATAAGATTATCATATAGTATAATCTGCCTTAAGTGAAAATTTAAATTAAGGTGCAAAACCTTGACAACTGAACATATCATCGAGCTTTTTTGCATGTTCTCTATACAGTGAAGAACGTCATTTTTTAATGCTCTGTTTTGTCCTTTAACCTACACCTTTATCGTTACTCTAATAATTGGGGGCTTCTTTCTCTACTGCTAAGTATGGGAATATGTGCAATTATAAGATGTACAAAAAATGGAAAGGGAAAGAACTTTCTAAATAGCAGATCTGTGCCAAGAAGTAGATGTAACACAAAGATGCAGAACTGGAGGATAGTAATTTTCCCCAAGCCGTACACACCAGCTTTTATTTCATGGCTTTGTCGCAGGCTTTTCTCCTTCTGTGCCGTCACCTTTGAGAAAAACGATTGCACCTTCTCCAAGTCTGCCTTTTTAACAGCTTCGGTTGAGTTGGCAAGACTTCCCCAGTTCTGAATATAGCCATTTGCCAACTCTGGCCTCTTTGAAAGACTGACTCAAATCTGTGATCTTCTGTGCAGCATACACATCAGCAAAGTGAGAAGATGAGCACTAAATATAGGCTCTATTAACTTTACTTTTAGACTCACTGCCTTCGAAAAGTGCCTATTCTGAGAAACATAAACGTTATCCCTACATATGTATGTACACACGACACCCCGAGTCATGCTGCTCAGCCTTCAAAAACATACCATCGGAAGAAGTAGGTGCAGAGATAAGGAAACCGCGCCAAATGCAAGAGAATCACTCACTTCCAGTACCCTCCTGCATGGCTACCGTGAAATGGGCTGTGGGCACATGCCCTGAGCTTTCCTTGATGATACAGACACTTGATATTTTTATCCTGAGGATGGTAGCATATTTCTGGGGTTTCCTGTATTCTGCTGCAAGAAGATAGGAGCTCTACGAGTTTAGAACATCGAGTTAGGGGGAAAAGTGCTTAGGGAATTAACAGAGCCCGGCCTGTATGAGGGTATGTGTCATATGTTTATTTTACAAACTAAGCATGGTGGGTTTAAAATGTCAGCATGTTTCTCTCTTCTTTTATCTCTCAGGGTAACATCAGAGAAAACTAAAGAAAAGACTTGGCTGTGGATATTGGAGGCTCAGGGGGCCAAATGTCCCTGCCAGATCTTTAGAGCATTTTTACTCTTGCGTCCTAAAAATAGTAGTATGTGCTATTTTATGGCTTTTGTTTCATGGTTCTATCAGAACTATGGATATTGTTGATGAGGCAGCCATGTAGCTTAAGATAATGGATTCTTACCCAGTGGTGGCAAAAGCAGAGGGTCCAGGTAAATGGGATGAGATAGACAGTGCGTGATTGTAGAAGAGTTGAAGGGAGGACATGATTTCAAAAAAGATTGTTCTCAATGTGTCGTCTGACTCAACCAGCTGGCAGATTACACTTGCCAAGTCTCTTCTTTTCCTTCTAAGTCAGTTGGCTCGATAGTCACTGGAATATGCTTCTGTTTGAGGGAAGTGAGATCTGTCCACCTAGCCTTGCTCTAAGAGACCTCTTGATGTCCTCTCAGTCACGGAGTTGTCCTATAGCCTGCCCACTTTTTCCAAGTGGAAATAAAGGTAGACAGATCTGATGCCATTGCAGTCAACCTCAGTTCTGCATTCCACTGAGGGGACCCCCATGAACCAGAAGTGAGGACACAGTAGAGCACCGCTGAATCACGTCAAGGGCAGGACCAACTGGCCTTAGTAAACATCATTTTGTGATACAAAGGGTTTCCTTGAAAGAATAATAACACTTGGTGTAAGCATCTTCTCTCCTATTGTGTTCCTCTTCTGATTTTACCTTATCAAATTCAGTAGTAGTCATTTTCTTCTTCTTTTAGAGAATCAGCTGAGAGTGCCAGACAAAAGTTCAAAAACTCTCTGTGTGATATCCTAAGTGAGTGATGGCGAGGTACCCAAATTGCAACCCCAAACCCACTTATGTATTGCAAAGTACCCATGCTGCTCCCAGGGGCACTGTCAGCCACTGCTTACTGAGGCTGTGGCAGAGTGGCTCCTGTGGGGACAGTGAGAGTTCTAGGTGCCCACCATAGGATGTATGCCAAAGGTTTTCTATCGCTCTCATGAATGAATTAGGATACAGAGATTTTCCTGTTTGGAAACAAAACAACCACCACCAAAACACACACACACACACACACACACACACACACACACACACACACACACACACAAAGATGCAACCTGGCTTTTGATCGTGGCCATGGAGATAGATTTCTGAGGGTGAGATGATGTTTACCATGTGGGTAGAATGTTAAGGACAGGAAGGGACAGAAAGAAGCCAGGCTGTCTCTGTGCTGAATGTGTCTACTGAGTCCTCACTTCCTGCCAGCTCCTCACTACCACAGCCCCACTACCATCAGCTGCGAGTCTGAGTAACACTGCCTGACTTAAGGGAAGTCGCACAAAATCACAGAGGATATGAGTATTTTTTCACATGTGTGACACTGACAGAGCCATAGTATTCTTAAAACATAGGTTTCTGCTTTTTGTTTTATTTTGAGCAACTTGCATTTCATCATTGTGTCATGAACAATCACTGATAAGTCCAAAATAGCACACAAGGTTTCTCATAAAGTAAAGGGAGAGAATCTGTTATAAGCAAGTGATTTGGGTATTTTATTTTGTATTTATGCATTATCTAACTCTATCAAAATATGGTTTTATTTACCTTCTATCAGTTTCTTCTATGAATTGTTTTTCCAATGTTCTATAAGAATGAATATGAAAATTATAGTCCTTTTTTCTGTAAAAGAATTGCAACTACTTTATTATATTTAGAAATCCAATAAACTTCTTATTACATTTACTTGCCTATGTGTGGAATTCTTTTAGAGTCAGATAATCTGTTTCCTTCTCTTCTGTGATTCATTTCTTACATCATTTGCTTTCCATATGGTTCTCTGAGAACAAGCATGTCTCTCAAAGCCAGTGTGGGTACGAGGTGCCCTCTATCCTCTGCTGTTAGTACAGATGAGCTGAAGGTCTATGTGTGCTCTGAAATTCTCTCTCTGTCTCTATCTCTCTCGGTCTCTCCATCTCTGTCTCTGTATCTCTCTCTCTCTCTCTCTCTCTCTCTCTCTCTCTCTCTCTCTCTCTCTCTGTGTGTGTGTGTGTGTGTGTGTGTCTCCTGTCCTAGATAATATTTTCTCCTTTACATCTGAATCTAAGTGAATAGGTGCTTTAGAGATGGAGATGAAGAGATTTCTATTCTCAACAACTGGATGGCCCACAGTTTTGCATTTTTTCTCTATCTGTAGTATATACTTCTCAAACACTGAGAATCTGTCCTGCATTAGGCACCTGGAGCAGTGCATGTATAAAACATAGTGGCTACTGGCAAGGAGTCTATAGTTAAGCTTATAGATGCGGATGCAAGTCAGTAAAAGGAAAAGAAAGGAAGAACTGGACACAGGAGAGATCTTCAAAACTTTGTTCCTGCATCATTTTTAGTAGTGCTGTGTCACTATCCGTAGTCCTGTGACTCTTTTACTCTTGTTTTGTAGATGGAAATACAGAGAGACAGAGGGGAGAATAAAAATTAACAACCTAAGACCCACGTTTATTTAAGAAGTGTGTTTCACTTTTGTAAGTAGTATATCTGCAGAACCAAGTCTACTAAACCCTACAAGTAACTAGAAACAGAGCACATGTGACTCTTTCCTCAAGAAAGAAGAGTATCCATTCTGGTTCCTGCTTAGGTACAGGGTTTTAATCTCCCCAGCATCATGCTTCAAACTACTAAGACTGAGACATCTGGGAACCACAAGTGGAAGGACTACAGGAAGTCATCACTTTTAAAGCCACTGATTGCAAGATACCTGTGCACTTTTGACAAACTAATGGTAGGTAAGCCACTGAGACTCAGGATGTTCATGACTTCTCACAAGAAAGTTTTAAATAAAGAAGGGACACAGAAGATGCGGTCTTGTCTTTCTTTCCCCTGTTTTTCTCTTTTACTCCTTTCATGTTCTTTGTTAACTTCCCTTCTGCTCCTGGTCGTATTAACTCTATGCATTTGTCAGTGTCTTCCAATTTATGGAACGTGAGAGCTAGAAGATCCCTTAGGGATCACATGCTCTAAGCTTGTGAATGAATACAAAGACCCGGAGACATGGAGGTGTTTTCCTAGGGTCACAAAATCATCATGAGGCTGGATCTTGAGTCCTGGCATCCTAACTCAGTCCAGTGCTGCCATACAGGTGACTGACTTATATAATGGAAAAATGACATTTGGAAATAAACAAAACCAAGAGGACATACTGTCCCTACACTTTAACTAAGAGATTCTCAAAACTGTATTTCTAGAAGAAGCCAAACAAACCAAGAAGGAATATGAGTTTGCAACCAGGAATGGGGAGTACAGAACAGTAGCTGTGTAGTGAGCAAACTGTGATATAGGACAATCTTTTTTAACCTAAGGGAATACAAAAATAGAGCTCAAATATTGGGCAGTGGTAGAACATACACCAAAAGTATGATCTGAGTTCCATCTCTATAAATTTTTTGTGGATTTGAGAGTACTGTTACAAACACTGCATTTTTAGGGCTGGGGATTTAGCTCAGTGGCATAAACGCCTGCCTTGCAAGCACGCAATCATGAGTTCAATGCCTGGCATCAATAAATAAATAAATGTTGCAATTTTTATGTTTATATGTGTTTCAATAATTGCCACCAAGGATAGAATATATAAACAAAATCAATAAAAAAATAGCATAAGGGCAAGTTAGGGGTAAAGCAAATTTCAGTGAAAGGACAGAAAAAGAAAAGTCAGGACTGGTACAAAGGAAATCAAAGCATGAGTTAACAGCTGAAACTAAAAGATAAAAAATTTAGGCTGATTTAAAACAAGGCCCAGATTTATGCTATAAAAGAGACATACATAAACTAAAAGTCATAGGTTAAAATAATGACTGTTCTATCAATATACCCAAAACAAAAACCAGAGAAAAAACTTTAAGACAAAAATACTATTACATGGAGGGACATTATTTATTGATGAGATGGTTCAATTCCATAAAGAATATAAATTCTAAACTTGAGTAGTTTAACGATATCACCATAGTGCATAAAAGATAAAGTCATAAAACTAAGAAAAATCAACAAATCTATCACCAGAGCAGGATATCTTAAGTCCCTCAACAATTATCCAAGTAATAAACCAAAAAGACACAAGATAGATCTGGACAATATTTAAAACCTTGGTTTAGTGAATATAAAAAAATCTCCATGCTCATCAAATGAAAAATAAGCATTAGTGTTTTGAAGCACACATGAGTGATTCACTAATTGTCTTAGTTACTTTTTACTCGTCACTGAAACAAAACACCTGATGCTCAAAGTTGGAAAAGGAAAGGTTTATTTCTTACAGTTTTTGGAGGTTTCAGTCCATACTCAGTTGGCTCCAAGGCAGCGTGGCATGGTGGGGCAGCAGTTCACGGCAGCTACAAACAGCAAAGCAGAGAGATACACAGCGTCTTCTGCATTGCATGCTGGCTCCACCCCTAGGCGGGTGTAGCACTGATACCATCAATCCAAGCGCTAGACAATGAACCAATCACAAATGCACACCGCAAACACATGAGGCCTGGGGGCCACAGACATAAACCATGACACTAATACTGACCAGTTTCTGAGGTAATTGTCAAAGAAGTTCAACACATCTTTTGTATAAATCAAATATTGGGGTTATGTTGAAGTACAGAGTTAGTAGAGAGTGTGGATAAGCAAAAGCACATTTCTTTAAAGATTTTAAAACCTTGAAATAACTTACTTCAATAAATCATAGGAATGATTGAAAATCATAGGTATGAATACTAATAAAAATTTTGTGTTAAAACTTGTAGGAGTTAGCTCAAATGGTTTCTGGAGGGAAATGTAAGCCCTTTGATGATTATATAAAAAATAAAGTGAAAATTAATGAACTAATCATTCAATTTTGGTTAAAAAAAGAATAGAATAAAAACTTTGAAAAAAGAGATAATGAAAGTATATAAAAATTGAAATTAATCCTCAAAAAACTAGAGCTAGAGTTTCCATTTGACCCAGCTATTGCCCTTCTAGGTATCTTCCTGGAAGTTAAAACAGCATAGCACAGTGATATACGAACACATTAATGTGCATGTTTATAACACAATTTATAATAGTTAAATCTTGGAAATAGCCCACATGCCCATCAAGAGAAGAACGCATTTAAAAATGTGGTTTTGATTTACAATGTAGCTCTACTCTGCCCTTAAGAAGGATAAACTGGAGACGTTTTTACACAGGTATATACACCTCTGGAACATGATTTTAAGTGTAATAAATCGGACACGTGTTTAAATTAGAGCACATTGTTTCTCATTGCAGAAACTCAAGGGTAAATAAGGAGCAAGATAGAGAATAACAGTGGGAATTAGGAAGACAATATTTGAAAGACGAGAGGAAGGAAGGGGGCAGGGAAGGAAAGGAGGAAAACGGATAGAAATGAAAGTGACAGGAAGGAAAACAAAATTTTGCAAATAACGAGGGGGAAAGGTTGAAGGGAAGGGAACTGAACGAGAAGAAAATAGATCATGTATGGGAAAAATGTACCCCCGAAATTAATTTATAAAACTAATCACCTTAAAAATTACCTAAAATGCACACCAAGCCTGCTGTGAAGTTCACGTGTTCTGTGTCCACTCTTACATGACACTGAATTTCAGCTTTTCTAGGGCTGCTGGGTTCCTTACATTCGTATTTTTTATACAACAGGTTTGTAAACTTTTTATTCCTGTGTTGCGGGTAATTTAACTATTTCCTACTTTTAGCATAAACTTCTAAAACACACACACACACACACACACACACACACACACACACACACACCTGAAATTAAATACATAAAAAAGTAAGTATGTAGTGAAAGAAACAGAGCCCAAATTTGGCACTTTGAAAAAGTGATTATAAATGTGTTCGGATGTTGGGCAAGAAAAATGCTGAAATACGCACAAATAGATAATAATTACATATAAGCAAGAATTTAAAATATGAAAATAAACATGAGCCACCTCATTCATTTGAAAATGTAGATGAAGCATTCCTAAGAAGTCGTAACTTAGCAAAAGCAAATGAAAAATTAACCTAGAAGATATAATAATAAGTGAATCATATTAGTGATTTAAAAATCTTCCAAAAAATCGTGACTAGAAGGAAGCATGACAGTCCAGCACAGTGTACTAGGTTGGTAAAATTCTCATGGATGATTTGCATTGGTGAGACAGTTGTGCTCAGTTTGTAAAAATTATAAATCAATTTATTTGCTATCATTGCATTTTATTTACATTACAGCTCAATAAACAAATTTTTTTCTCCAGAAGAAAGAACCTGAATTTATAATTCTACATGTAAATTTCACTGGCCATTCAAGTTGGGATTATGTAAGAAAAAACTGAACATTCCTCAACCTAATTTATAAAGCAAACGGCCATATTATTCATGCATGTACAGATGCAAATTCGAGTCAGTGTAAAAACCAAACAAAGGAATGAATAATAAAAATGAACTCACCTCAGGAATAGGAAAGTAGTTGAACATTAGAAAATGTGTACATGCAATGCACCATATTCACAGAACATACAGAAAACTCATAGGCTGGAAGCATAGCTCACAGTTAGAGCACACGCTTAGCATGCGCTAGGCCTTGGGGTCAGTCACACAACACACATACACACACACACACACACACACACACACACACACACAAGTAGAAATAGCATCTAAACATATTCAAAATAAAGTAGATATTTGTGACTTACAACATAAAATTTTACCTACTTAAGACT